TAGTATAAGTAAGGGGGCCCCAAAACCCTGTTCAAATTATTCATTGGGGGTTCCTTATTAAAATTGTAGTATAAGTAAGGGGCCCCAAAACCCTGTTCTAATTATTAAGGCCCCTAAACCCTAAACCCTTATACTACCCAGGACCCCTAAACCCTAAACCCTAAACCCTAAACCCTAAGAAAAGTGAGAGGCAACCCTATAGTTGAAAATCCGAGTCACTGCATGGAGCCAAGAGCCTGACAAGAGATGCTTCACCAGGTTTGGGGTTCAGGGTTCAGGGTGCAGGGGTTTAGGGTTTAGGGTTTGGGGTTTGGGGTTTAGGGTTCAGGGTTTAGGGTGGGTTTAGGGTTCAGGGCTTAGGGATCAGGGATTAGGGTTTAAGGCTTTAGGACTAGAGTTTAGGGTTTAGGGTTTAGGGAGGATCGGGGGGAGCTCGTGGGCAGGTTTGAGGAGTTCGGCTGTGAGAAGGAACTGCACAAGTCTGGGGGCGATGGGCTTTAGGAATGCTTGCAGCAGGGATTTGGAAACTATATCTGGTGTCGCTCGGGGTCGGAGATTTCAACTAGTCTCCGACATGTGCCACGAGCCCCTGCCTGTTGCCGAAGTAGGAACTGAGAATACTGATGAGTGGTTCTATGACAGCTCTATATGGACTCTGTTGGTTTCATGGGGTGTAGGGTTTGGATGCGACCACGCCATGCTTGATGTTGCAAAATGACTGAAAACGCTACATAAAGGGCAAGAAGTTGTTGTAGTGGTGGTGGTAGTGCAAGTGGAGGCGATACTGGCAGTGGTAGTAGCGGTAGTGGTACTGGTAGTTTTCGTGGAAGTGTTAGGGATTCTGGTAGTGGCAGTGGCACGGCAGTGGCACTAGCAGAGGTAGCGGTAGTGGCAGCGGTATTGGTATTGGCGGTGGCAAGGGCAGTAGCAGCATGGAGCAGCAGTAGTCGTCGTCCTCCTCATGGTATGGTCGTAGCAGTAGTAGCTTTTAGCAGTGCTGACTGTGAAAATAGCCGTGGCACAGCACCCGAAGTAGCGGCAACGGCAGCAGCAGCAGTAGTGTGGTAGCAGTGATGGTCTTACTGTCGTGGCTGCTGGTCCTGCTCATTATCCATTCTATATCTGAGAACACTCAATATCTGATGACGACTAAGGTGCTTGTTGCTTGCACTGGGGCTGCTTGTGCCGTTGTTATTGCTGTTTACCATTGGTGTTGCTGACTCTGTCGCCGTTTAGGGATACTGTCGCTGCTGCCTCCACTGCTTCCATCGCTGTTGGCTATTCCTTTGTTGTTAATGCTGCTGCTGCTGCTGTTGTGGCGGTGGTGTGCTTATGATTGTGATGGTTGGTTTTCTTGTTGTTGATGTGAAACGCTGCGAGCACCATGCCTAACCTCCTCCAAGTGTCTTAGTCAGGGATCTACCGTTTCCGAAGTTGTCGGATCAGTGTGAGGGTTAGAGGTGAAGGATCTACGGAAGCAGACGACCAGAACATCCACGCCTGAATAGCAACAATCAACTGGCTGGCCACCGCCGCGGCGGTAAGCATGTTGAAACCTTTGGTCGATGGCTGCAGCACGGATGTCACAGCTTCCAGCTCAAGTGAGAACATAATTCGACTAATTCGAGCAATATCCTCTGCCTTACTGTGATCGGTTGTTCTGTTGTTGCATCGTTCCCTGTACTCCTATACTCTCGCCGCAAGCCCCAGTGCCAAGCCTGGCTAGCCTTATCCTCCCTATCATACCACGTTGCAGCTCCAGCTTGGCGTGCTCGACGATAAGGAAACTAGAACTATCGGAAGCTCTTTGAAAATGGGGGCGCCCTGCTCCAGACCCCTACGTGCTCACATGCTTCATACGAAGACCCCCAAAACAAGGTCACCAGGATTCTAAGACTAAGAACTCCGGATAAAACTACGTAACTACTCGGTTTGGCTATAGCGATCAACCTAAAACCCGAAACCCTGAAAACCTTACCCTTATGATTCCTTCCAGACACCTCGTAAGACCCTTGAGAACCCTTCTAAAAACCTAGAGAAGTCCTGAAGACTTTTCTGCGGCTTGGGCTCTCAGCTGGCTCGGCTCCATCTTCATCGTGCTGATGGCCACGAGGGAGAGAGGCACCAAGACGATCAGCAAGATGCCCGGGAGGACATCACCGTCCTATTCCAGTGTGTAAAGGCTCCTTTCTGTAGTATCGTGTGGGGGCTTACTGCTTGATGTTTGGAGTTCGGCGCGTGGCTCAGGATTGGGGGCATAGCTCGAAGGTCGCAGGATGTTAGTTCATGTGTTCGTGTTCGGCGTAAGGGTTTGGGATTGTAGCGTCAGGCTGCTGGGTTTACGCTTAAGCTGTAGAGGTTAGGGCTTATAGGGTGCTAGAAAGCCTAAACCCTTAACCTTGAGCCCTAACAAAACCCGTTGCTCCAAACTAAACCCTAAACCCTAAACCCAATGCTCTAAACCCTAGATACCTGATGCCAAGTCTCCCCACAGGGCTGGCAGGTCCCCGTGTCCGGCCCATCCTCCACCGGGTAATGGCTCCTCTCACCAGAGCGGTTTAGGGTTTAGGGGTTAGGGCTGTAAGGTTTAGGGTTTAGGGCTGTAAGGTTTAGGGTTTAGGGCTGTAGGGTTTAGGGGTTTAGGGCTGTAGGGTTTAGGGGTTTAGGGCTGTAGGGTTTAGGGTTGTAGGGTTTAGGGTTTAGGGCTTAGGGCTGTAGTGTTTAGGGCACCAGGGGTTTAGGGTCTAAGGATGAGGCTTTAGGGCTTCGAGGAACAGCACCACCTTCTGACTCTACAAAAACCCTGATGAACTCCGGCCCTAAACCCTAAACCCTAAACCCTAAACCCCTAAAGCCAGGGATTGCCCTCATGACCCCTAATGAACGCCGACTCCCAACCCTAAAACCCAGAAATTGCCAAAGCCCTGAACCTTCTGCTCCTTATCCCGAAACCCTCATGGATCTCGGTGCTTAAACCCTATCCCCAAACTCCAGCCAAACCTGAAAAGCAAAACAACAACCGGAAACCTCAACCTCAAACCTTAAAGCCCTGGACCCTAAGAGCAAAAAGCACCTCCTTCAAATCCGGCCCCTCTTTCCCCGATAAGGCCCCTACATGACCTATAAACCTAAACCCTAAACTCAAAGCCCTAAACCTTACCTCGACCCTAAAGAACCTACCCTTTTTAGGGCTCCTTATTATGACTTTTCTATATGAGTCCTTAGAAAGGTAGGTTGTTTGGGGTTAAACCCTAAACCCTAAACCCTAAACCCTGAACACCTAAACCCCTAAACCCTAAACCCCAAAACCCCAAAACCCCAAAGACCTAAACTCTAAACCCCAAAACCCTAAACCCCTAAACCCTAAAGGCTCGAGGCACGGGTTCGGTTGACGCTTTGACAGATC